GATGTTGAACATTTTTCATATGCTTGTTGGCCATCTGCATTTCCTCTTTGGAGAGGTGTCTTTTTAGCTCTTCTGCCCATTTTTTGATGGGGTTGTTTATTTTTGTTGAGTTTCATCAGTTCTCTGTTTAGCTTTGTGATCAATCCTTTATCGCTAGTTTTGTGTGAGAGAATTTTTCCCAATCAGTGGGATGTCTGTTGCTTGTAATGTCTCTTTTGCTGTACAGAAGCTCTTGAACTTGATGTAGTCCCATCTATTTATCCTTCCTTCCCTATCGTTGTGTTGGGTGCTGTATTCTCAAAGATGTTACTAAAGTGTGTGTTGTGTAGTGTTTGGCCCATCTTTGCTTCCAGGTATTTTACGGTTTCTGTTCTTATGTCTAGGTCTTTAATCCACTTCGAGTTGATTTTTGTGCATGGTGTGTGGTAGTGATCTAATTTCATTTTTTTTGCATATAGCATCCCAGTTTTCCCAGCACCATTTGTTGAACAAACTTTCTTTGTTCCATTGTATAGTCTTTGCTCCTTTGTCAAAGATTAGCTGCCCATAACCTGTGGGTTTATATCTGAGTTTTCTATTTGAATCCACTGGTCTGTGTGTGTGTTCTTGTTCCAGTACCATACAGTTTTGATTATTAAGGCTTTGTAGTATAGCTTGAAATCTGGGAGAGTGATGCCTCCATTCTTTTTAATCATGAGAGCTTTGGCTATTCGAGGTCTTTTGTGGTTCTATATTGATCTCATCAATATTTGTTTTATTTCTTTGAAGAATGTCATTGAGACTTATTGGGATAGCTTTAAATCTGTACATTGCTTTTGGTAGGATGACCATTTTGATGATGTTAATTCTCCTGATCCATGAGCAGTATAGAGCTTTGTTTTGACATTTTTATTCTACATCTGAGACATATTCAGTATACAAAACAGGAAACGGAGAAAAGCATAGAAATTTCAAGTCACTTTCATCCTGACTGCCCCTTGCCGCTGTTATTATTTCCCTTTATTTGTTTTTGACCCTTTCCCCATGTAGGTGCTCTTAATGTGCTTACTGCCATGCCACACACAATATTATTTTCATCTATTTTAACAAACACTTTGCCCGTGTTATTAAAGCTGTCCAGAAACATCATTTAAAATATTCTTTATAAAATTACCATTCCTCTGTTTTCTGGCATACTGGATTAATTCCAGGTTTTTGCCTTTAGGAATGCTACTGTAACAGCCTTGGCACATAAAGAGATGCCCACAATCTGCACTGTCCCTTAAGGATAGATTGTCAGTATAGTCACTGGGCCTAAGCGCACGAGCAGAGTGAGGCTCTCTCAGTGAGAGTTGGCATTGCCTTGCACAGCCTTGTCATCCTCCTGAACCCCAAAGCCACATTCACTGCCACATCTACTTCCAGTGTGTGGGAGCCAGTGAGGTCATGTCCTCGCCATGCCCTTGGGCATCCTTCACATCCAAATGCATTTAGGTCTACCTTGATAGTGACATGGCAGCTTGTCCTGGTCATTTGGCCCCATGTGGCTGCAGAATCTACATGAGTTTGTCTTCACCTTCCTGGTGCCTTTGGGTTTAGCTGGAATCATGCCTAATGGGTTGAGGGGTATTGCAGGCGAAAGAGGCTGCATCTTGGCGTCACGCTCTGTCTGGTCTGACCCCTGACGCTGTCTTTCGTGCTTACTTTTTATGCTGCGCCGTCTTGGGCTCTTTACCCTTCAGTGGTCTCTGCCTATGGCACTGGTATGGTTTCCAGGGCAAACATCCCAGCTTTGTTCTCACGCGTGGCTTCTTAAACATACAGCTGACCTTGAACACTGTGAGGTCAGGACACCAGTCCCTCCTAACGTTACCTTTGACCCCCTTCCCAAATTTCTAATAGCTGCTATTGACCTGAAACCTTACCAATAACATAAATCACTGACTCACATATCTGGTGTGTTAGATGTGTTACACTCTGAATTTTCACACAAATTAAGCCAGAAAAAAGAAATGTCACGAAGAAAACCAGCAGGATGAGAGGCTGTGGTGGCGGTGCTGGGCATGGTGCCACCAGATTGGGTTCATGTCCTAGGTAGCCTTGTGCCACCTTCAGTGCCCATCGGTGCTGTCTTACCCCACAAGGGCAGCGGGTGCTATATACAGGCCTCAAAGGCAAAAGAGTGACTCATGTTTGTCTGCAGGTGTAATGATTGTTTTTCAGTGAGGTGGGTTCATCTGCTCAATTTTTCTCAAATAGTTGCAGATCTCCCCAACTTTTCCCAGTATATTTTCTGAGCAAAATTTGTGTATAAGTGAACGCAGACAGGTGAAACCCACCTGCTCAGGGCTCAGCTGCTGTCAGCACACTTGATACCGATTTTGTACCCAGCTAACAAGGCCCCAGAACACCCCCTTTTGTTATCCTTGGTGGAACGAACAGAAACTTGGTGGTTCTTCCCTGCTTTCGCATGCTGGCTCGTCCCGGGAAATTGAAGTTCAGACAGTGGAGACCAGTGGCCCATTTCCTAGCCTCTTTGCTTTCATTTTAATTTGGGCAGTCATCCTTTTCACAAACCTCTATCCAGAAGTTCTTTTTCCAAATCAACCTGGGTGATTTAGGGAAAACTTTTTGCACTCTCTGCAGGAAGGCGCTCACCCAGTAAATTTCGGAGGTCAGCAGGTCTCCCCATTCTCCTGCGAGAATGACTCGTCCATGAGGCATCAGTGAAATGGGGGATACATCTGTGTGGGCTGCCTTTCTACCCCTTCGGTGGTCACGCGACATTTTTGGAATTCGGTAACCAGTTACACTTTCTGGTAACCACAGCCTTGGTCACTGACTTGGTGCTTTTATCTCAGGTCTTGGTTCTGCTTTGTTTCCAGGGCTTTTTCCTTTGTATTCACTGTGCTGTCGTGTCCTGTCGTCTTATCTGTGTCTGGGTATTCATGTGCGTGCAGCCTGCCAGTCACTGTTCTGGACATGAGTGCTGTGCTGCAGAGGAGGCCTGGCAGTGGGATGCTCTTGGCTCTGGAAACCTGGCTGACCCTGACGTGAGGCCCCTGTGGGCTGGGTCTGTCTCCAGGTGCCGAGTCTGGCGCGGGCCAGGAGTCTCCCGCCTTTCTCTGCCCCTCTTCCTCACCCCTGATCCCACCCATCTCTCTAGACCTGGCCACACCATGTAATTAATGATAATTAATTCCTAGTCACAGTGGTGGGTACATTGATTTGCTCTGAGAGCCCAGTTTTCCCCAGGCTGCCCAGGGACAGGGCAGAGTTCCAGGTGTGGGCAGGTGGCTTGGGAGGGTGGGGTCTTGGCAGAGGACACGGGGAGCAATGTGGAGCTCGGCTAGCCAGCACCCCCGACACAGCGTCCCTTGGCTTTTAACACCCCTCGGTGACCTGCCAGCTGAGCCGCCCCTTTTCCTGGGAAGCTTTGGCAGCCGAAAGAAATTGAACCTGTTCCAGAAGCCTTAACAAGTAGCTTTGCTGCAGTCTCTTACCCAAAGGGGAAATTTGGTCTTGAGCCAGAGTCACACCTTCCCTATCCCTGGGCGCCCAAGCCTCCCTCTCAGCTCCACACCCCCTCCCCAACCTCTCTCCCAGGACTGAGGGGAACTTCCCAGGATGCCTTTGAGGAGCCAGCTTAGCCTCCCTGCTGCTGTTGTCTTTCCTGTGGTTTAGCAGAGCAGCAGCTTGAAGGACCAGGACCCAGAGGCCCTCTGGGGAGGGAAGTTGTGAGCACCCTGCGCTCAAGCGAGGTCCCTGACTCAACTGCACCATCATCACCATGTCCCTCTCCCAGCCTGCACCACCAGCCTCGGCACCAGCACCATTACTCCGTCCCCACACCGTCCTTGCTTCTGTCGCCATCTTCGCCACCCCCATCACCACCATCCTGGCGCTCCCGCTGATGGTGCGTGGCTGTGGGACGGGCACGTGCCGGGCCCCATGCGCTTTCTGTCCTCCCGGCCTCTAACCGTGTACAGGCCACAGCGCCTTGCGCGTGGTCAGGGGCCAGGCTAGTGAGCCGTGTGGCGGGTTCATGGTCTCCAGGTGCTGTCGCGCTTGCCGTAGGCGGGATTCTACAGCCTCCAAGGTGCAGAAGTAGGGTGCCCCCTCCCACTGCAGGGCAAAAAGGCAGCGCCCCCCAACTTTGGATGAGGCCCCACACTCAAGGCCCCCCCAACCGGTTTCCCTGTGTGCCCCTCCCCTGCACAGGTGTATGAGGGTGGGACCAGCGTGGACCAGTTCGTGACCCGCTTCCTCCTGAAGGAGACGGCCACCCAGATCCAGTCACTGCTGAGCTCCGTGGAGAGCGCGGTGGAGGCCATCGAGGAGCAGACCTGCCAGATCCGGTGGGGCTGGGCCCCGGGGTGGGGGTGTGGGGATGGGGGGGTGTCACCCGCTGTGCAGCACTGCCATGGGTGTGGCCGGTGTGGACAGCATGTCTGTTTCCGTGGCAACTTTCCAGCATGTCCTTGCAGATGGGGTCGGGCAATCTGAACACACATGGAGCCCCCAACCTGTGCCAGGCACATGAGCTGCCTGTGCCGCAGGGGCATGCTTCTGGGGTGTCCGGGACACCCAGCCCTCTTTCTCATGGCTGAGATCAGCGCCATACGTTTCTCCCTCCTGCTGTATGTGCACTTGAGACAGTCTCTCGAGAACCCCCGTTAGGGCAGGGACAGTTGTCCAGGTGCAACAAACCCAGTCCCCCTCTCCCCCATCCAGCCACACACACCGCAGAGGCCTGACAGCCCAGGGGCCTCTGGGCCGGCTGGAGGGGGAAGTCAGCCTGGTGTCCACTCAGCTGAGCCCTCCGGGACCCACCATCAGTGCCTCGTTCACGTGGGAGCTGCTGTGCGGTCAGGGCCCTGCAGCCCCTCACAGCCTGTGTCCCTCGCTCTCCTTGCAGACAGAACTACAGCAGACCCAGCCGCGATGCTGCAGAGACCTGGTACAGAAGCCCTGCACCCCCCTACGCCCCCAACCACAAGTTCATGGCCGCAGAACAGGGGCGGATCCTTCCACCTGGTGAGAAGCATGGCCCACAGTGGGGGCGCTGGCCAGGGGTCCACAGAGGAATGGAGAGGCCAGATGGGACCTGGACTTTGGTGGGGGCCTGGTGGCTGGGGCTCCCCCCCTCCCCCGCCGGGACTGGCACCGCCCACCAGCCGGTCCCCGTTTCCCTTCACAGTCCCGGTGGAGGCCAAGGAGGAGAGCCTGGAAGCCCAGGTCAGCCGCTTGGCAGAGCTGATAGGACGGCTGGAGAGCAAGGTCAGCCCTGCGCCCTCCCACGTGTCCTTCCCCGGCCCCGGGGGGTGAGTGGCCAGCAGGGTGCCCAGGGCCAGAGCAGGACAGGCTGTCCCAGCAGAGATGGGAAACACAGGCACGCACAGCTGCCTGACACCCTCTGCGGACACGGCCCCAGCGTGTGGGGATGGGCTTGGCCCTTAAGGTCAGGTCTGCGGTGGACAGTGGGTGCCGGGGGCTGCACCCGGGCTTGGTGCGCCCCCAGAGCCACATGGAGGCTCCCCAGCCATCGCTCCCTAGAGCCGGGGCCAAGGTCTGAGGTCAGGCTGTGGGCTGGCGCCTCTGGGCCCGTCCATGCACACAGCCACCCCTGTTCCCTCGGCCGCTCCCCTGTGCGCCGTCCAGACAGACAGCAGTCATGGCGGAGGGGCCCTCGGCTGCCACTTGAATTACGTCCTCCAAGGCCCTAATAACGCTCATTTCCTGGAAGAAAGGAAACCGGTTTCCTTAGGGTTTGCCACCAGCTTGGGTGTCAGACAGCCAGTTCCGTCCCCAGCTTGGTACTTCCTGGCTGTGTGACTTCAAGCCAGTGTTTGAGTGTCTCTGAGCTTCTAATTCCTCCAGGATAGAGACAAGTCAGAATAAACCTCTCACAGGCTGTTGTAAGGATGAAATGAAATGTCATCTCAGTGGCTTAGCCCAGGGCTGCTGTGTAGTTAGCATCCAGTATTAGCAATTACTGGACATTTAATACCCCACTGCCCCTCCCACACACACACTAACCAACATGGTAGCTCAGAGCCTCAGGGTTGTGCAGATTTTCCATTGCTCCTTTTCTGAATCCTTTACATCTTTTGCATGCGGACAGGATAACTAGTACTTGGGTGGGTCAGAGGCCAGTTCTGGAGGGCAGCCACAGGGGTGTGACTCGCACAGCAGAGGCTGAGGGCGGGCCTGGAGGGGAGTCCCGGGGAGGCCTGCCTGCCGCCTGGGGGCGAGGCCAGGTGTGCGGCTCCCACCCCTCCCCAAAGGTTGTGCTGGTGGGCGCAGCTACTTGGGGACCCTGCTGCCCGTTGTCATAACAACTGCAGGCGCCTCCAGAGGGAGGCTCTTTGAAGCTTATTTTTAGCGTCGGTCTCCTTAACAACAGGGCTGGCTGAAACCTCAGAGCACCTGGGCGCCCCAGAGACGGGCAGGACCCCCTCGCTGGCCCCTGACTGGCCCAGGCTATGAGCAGGGTTCAACGCTGGGCAAAGCCCACCTGGGCCTCACCAGGGGGTGGAGCACCTGGGGTGCAGCTGAGAGGGGGCTGGCAGATCAGGGTGCCCGGGCCTCCCTTAACCTCTCCCCCTGGCTACAGACGCCTTCTGGGGACCCACCTGTCACAGGGAGGCAGCGGGCTCCTGGCCGCCTGGGGAGTCAGGACACTGCCCACTTGGCTAAGAGTCTGGGGGCTGGGCAGTCCCTGCCAGGGTTGGGGAGCAGGACCCTCGGTCCCGGAGAGGAGGCAGCAGGCTCCTTCAGAGGCAGCTTTGCCAAGAGAACAGATGGAAGAGGCTTGGCTAGACACGGGACGGCTGCGTTTTAAAGGGCAGCTTCGTTAGGCATGAAAGTATTTGCTGAGGGGCCACTGGCAGTTCTGAGGGCAGGAAGCGGCCGTTTGCCCCAGCAGGCAGTTCTCATCTGCTGTTCTCTGGGAGAATCGTTCCTCCATGGAACTTTACCCAGTGACTTTATCACTCTCAGGGTCCGCTGGGGCAGTCTGCGCCGTCCGGTCCTCCGTGAGGGCGCAGTCGTCTCTGCCCCCTGGCTTCTAGCCTTGTGAGACTTGATCTTTCCTGCTCTAAGCTTCCGTGGGAGGGGGTTGGGCAGGATAGGCCCAGACGTGGTACTCACTGGGGTGCCCAGTGGAAGGAGTGTTGGGAGAGCGGCCGCCGAGGCCTGGCCAGCGCCGCAGCAGCATCTGTGGCCATCGGCACCCGAGCTTCCCTCTGGTGGACGCGGGGTCCAGGCAGTGCTGGGTCTTGTTCCAGACACCCAAACGTGGCCATGAGCAATGTGCAGGGGGTTCCCGAGGCCATGGGCACATGGCAGGGCCTGTCCCAGCGAGCTGGGGTTAAATAGGATGTTTCTGGAAGTGCTGGGCTTGTTGCCTGTGAAAGGCCGGAGAGGTCGAACACCCGTTCAGACCGTTCACTGGATTCATGAGGTGCCGGGGGTTGTTGGGTGACGTCCCTAAGGCGATGGGACTCTCAGGCTTTGCCAGCGCTTGTGGCAAAGTGTCCTGGATCCAGAACTCTTGAATCCCAACTGCCGACACACACACAGTAGCAGACCCTCCTTGCGCTCTGGCTCCCAGTGCCCCCCACCCCCACGCACGGTCATTCCAGTTCCCAGGCCACTCTGGGCCAGCACTGTGCCTGTGTGCCTCGGCCCTTCCCAGCGGGCCTGGCCTCCAGGGGAGGCGAGCGCCACGCAGCCTTGGGGCAGCGGGGCTGGAGCTCCGGAGGGCTCCGGGTTGCATGTGTGGTGAGGCCCATCACCTCCGGGTTGCGTGTGTGGTGAGGCCCATCACCTCCGGGTTGCGTGTGTGGTGAGGCCCATCACCTCCGGGTTGC